TAGAATTCTGTTTATTATTTGTTTTATGTGTGTATCGATCATAACACTATTTCAATTGTGTAGTTATTTAGGATAACTTAACAGAATTCTAAACTACTGGGCTTGATTTTTTCTTTTTAGTTTTTATTTTTTTCATGTGTTTATTTTTTTCGTGTAATTTGTTCATGTATTTTTTAAATTTTATTTTTACGCAGTCGGGCTTTTTGTTTTTCTTTAAATTATTTATTTTTATTTTATACTTTTTTTATGTGTATATCATTTATACTTTAAATAAAAACTTAAATCAATAAGTAAGAAAATTAGCGAATATGATTGTTTTGTTAAACAACTTTAAATCGTAATATATCCTAAACTATTATTTAAAATGAAAAGTGATAAAAGGAACCTAAAGATGATTTTAAAATACCTATCCAACGACACCACTTGCATAGTTCGTCAATTTTTTTTTTCATTTTGACAATATGGCGTCTGGTTGTCGCTGTGGTGAATTTTTATTACTGTCATGTCTTTAGTGACACTCGCAAGGTTAAAACGAATCGATTGACGTAAGAATCGTCACAATCGGCCCACGCATTTGGTCTCTAAAACGCCACATAGAAACAAACATACATAAATAGACTGATAAACACATTACCCTCCTTTGCGTCGCGCAGTCGGGTAAAAATGCAATTGAAATCGGACGTCCATCATTTAATTTATAGTCGTCTCTACTCATTATATCATGGTCATTAAAACCTTATTCTGACTTCATAAATTCGAAAAAATATTTCGGACAAGATTAGCTTGATTGGCTAACATGATTTTAAATTGTTTGTACAAATATTTTTTTTCGGCAGTTTATGTAGACAGGATTTTTTTGTTAAACTGACACTTTTAAGTAAGGTACTGTGTTAAAACGCTCCTGTTATAAAAGCAAAATAGTTAATATAAACAGTGAATACAGCTGAGATATTAATATATTGTGACTCGTGATATATCGGCGATTGTTAATATCCAATATTAAGTATATCCGTGGGGAAGCTAGTGCAAAAAGTTGAATTTTCTATCTGATCTTAGTGAAAAAAAAAACCTGTATATATGTGTGCTAAATATTAACAGCTGAGAGGTGTATCTGAACGATGCGCGTAAGTGACACCGAGTGCTCGGCGCTTACGTCGTTTCTTTTGCGGGGATCCGATGCATCGCATGTGATGAGCCTATATTAAAGTTGAACAGGTGGGCCGTTGTTGTTACCGTGCACACGACCATTACCAGGATACCAAGCGACGGTAAAGCGATACCGCTACTGTGGCATTACCTTTGATCGACATGCCGAACTGCGGAGCGTACGGTAGATTTTTATCGCCGGTAGGCGCCGCCACATGCGCGGGCTATTAAATAAAATCAAAATTTATTTGAACTTCTATATATTGGATATTATTAATCTTACAATTACTTATCTTAAAAACTTATATTACTACACTTATATATTAAAACACTATAATTATATATATACAGTAATATTAAATATTAGATTTACATTATTACTAAATTATATTATATTTATACATTGCTCAGTCCCTCTGGCTATAAAAATCCCTCAGATTGAATACATTCGGACTCATGCTGTTGCCGACGACGATAGTGGAACCTTTTTATATAGTTTTTGTATACTTTTTATATTTTTAATATTTTCTATTGTATTTTGTTTTTTATGATTGTCATTATAGAAAAATATCGAAACCCACGCAATTTTATTTTGCAATTATTATCACATGCTATCTATGATCTCTATTTTTCACGGAGAAATTTAAATAAGGAGTTAATCTGTAGAACAATTAACAAACAAGGTTTAAAATGATTAAACTATATAATTTCAAAGTTGGTCTATTCAACGCAGGTTCTCTTGGCACAAAACACGTGGATTTTATTGTAGCATTGGAGGGTCTGTCTCCAGATATTATGGCCATAAATAAGACATGGCTGAGACCAGGGTATGACGACATCATGTAACTCCTAAACATGACACGTCAAAGCCACGTTAGCCACGTATAAACACTACGTGGCAATCTGTTAGATGCTTAATCATAATGAGTATGCCTTCACACTTGTTTCCAATAATTTTGTTTAAAATGTACCACACCACCCGAGAAAAATAGTTTAACATCACACCCGCTTTCACAAAGTTTTTTCTGATTTTTTACCCTCTTTCTTTATTCTTCTTCTGTCAAAAGCAAATTGAAAGGCAAAGGGATCAATAACCATTCGGTCATATTCCTTATAAAAGGTAATATTTATATATTTGTCGTTTTATAGTTATATTTAATGTATTAGTATTTTATCGTTGTATTTTTATGTTTCTTTTATATGTTATGTATTCTTATTATTTGTGCACGGAAGACATTAATCAATATCTAATCACTAATAATATTTTATGTTTCTTATGAGTATCCTGATTCTGAGGGCAATAAAATTGCTTTCTTTCTTTCTCTCAGAATTGTTTGAACATTGATGGTAATGCACTGATTAGCTGTATATGTTCACTGCTTTTGAGAAAGTAGACAATCTTACTAAGAAACTCGAGTGGCTCAATTGGTTTGAGTCCCACATTGAACAATTACTGTAGAATTTTTAATTTAATATAAGTAAGTATGATAAATGTTAATAAATCATTGTGAATACCAAATGCAATAGAAAATAAGTTTTGTTTTCTTCTAAGTTGGTATTAATAAAATGAAATTTATATTTCTTATTTGATTTTAATAATTGAGTGTTCCGAATGAAATAAAATAAAAATATCTTTATTCAAGTAAGCTTGTTTCAAGCACTTTTGAATCGTCCAAAAAATGTTTTTGCCTACTACTTGTTCAGGACGTCTTTTAGCGAAAAAAGAACAAGCGAAAAAAACTTACCAACTCTTTATCTTAAGTAATGACCAGTAGTCGGAATTAGGTAGAGTTATTCATGTAATTACACTGATTTCATACAGCGAAAGAATAAAGTGGATATGCCTCAAATCCCGAGATTAATTTTAAAGAGCAGAAAAAATCCCGTGATTTTTTAAATAAAAAGTTATTTACTTTTACACAATTTAAACTACTGCACGCACGACGTTGCCAAACTTACATCAATGACATCGGATGTCCAAAGTTGCAAAATTTGTATTGTAAATTAATGTAAACTAATTAAAAATTTTATGTTAATTATCTTTGTTTTATTTGTCTATCTCTGACGTTGTTATTATTATTTAGTTGTAAGCTTGTTGGCCACACGGGATTGTGCATTAGAAATCCCGAGAAGGTCCACATTAATATCAACATTTCGATGCAAGAACATAAATAACTCTACCTAATTCCGACCTCTGGTAATGACATTTACAGAAATCATGTCATTACCAAAATAGTACGTATTATAACAATAATAAATACAACTTTCAAAGTCTGCAGGACAAAGGTTGATACATATAACTAATCATTATAGAACAACGCAAAGGCTATAAATTCTATGCATTGCGGTCCTTAAAATGCTCATCAACTTTATAATACCCTTTACTCATAAGTATGTTCTATAATTTATTTAGGACAATTACATTTTGTGGAACTTTATTGAACATAGCAATGCACTTTACCCAGAAATGATCCTCTGGTTTTTTGAAGTCTGAAACTTGAAACGGCAAGTTTATTTTTATTTCTTGTGTTGAATCGTAATGTTTTCTTGCGTATATAATATTTTCATAGATGTATTGAGAGGCAATTGCCAAAATATTTATTTCTTTAAATATTTATCTGAAAAATTCCTTAGACAGTAAATTATATGTAGCACGGACAGCTCCCTTTTGTAGAATAGAAATTTCTTGAATGCTAGTCGCAGAACCCCACAACAATAGACTATACGCCATTACACTATGTAAATAACTAAAATATACCTATCTTGTCGTTTCAACATTTGTCAAGATTCTAATTTTCTTAACAGCAAAAGCTGCAGAAGTTAGTCTTCCTGTCAAGTTATCAATATGTGGATCCCATTGCAGTCGGGAATCTAGTGTAATATCAAGGAATTTTGTCGATTCTACCAACTCAACTTTTTCACTATTTACATGTGTACTAACATGCCTCACATAAGGTAATGCAAACTTTATGCATTTCGTTTTATATAAATTGGGCTTTAAATTATTATTATCAAACCACTGTAGAACATTGTAGAGAGCATCATTTCAATAATTACCCCTCTTAACTTTAAACACTAAAAAGATGTCATCAGCAAATTATACTGTCTAGCACAAATTCTTCATAAAGTTAGGAAGATCATTGATGCAAATTAAAAAAAGCAATTATATTACGAGTAGTACCGATCCCTGAGGTACGCCCATAAGGGGTGCCCTTGCAGATTTCACTTCATTAATTACTACTTTTTGAATTCTTTTGAAATTTGGCAGATTTCCTTTAAAAATACTTGCTTACATTTTAGAGCTTGAAATTTGGATTAATATTGTTCTAGGATTCACTTGATTATAGATAGAGATTATGTTACTAATTTAGAGAAGCCTGTAATAGATACATATCTTATAATTAATCTAAGACGAAACCTATACATTGATATTTGATCTAATTTAAATTGTCGATTCTATAGTAGTGCAATTATGAGTGTTTAATGAACTCTGATTAGTGTAAATTATTTATAGATTATAAGTGTTGTTGTGGATCAGTTCTAAAAATGAAGCTATAAAATTTAAAACTTTTTGAGTTAGGGATAATGAAGTAAGCTTATTAATTCTCTATAACTTAAAAGTAAGTATATGTAATATGATAATTAATACAATTTGTTGACAATTTTGCGATTTAAAAAGCGTTTCAACTAGGGTTTCAAAGTTATAATTTAAAGTCTAAAATTCCTATATAATTTTATTTACTTTATTAATAAAGTAGGGCGTAAAGACAAATACTCCGTATATGACGCATACGGAGTAATGAGATAGATAGGAAAAGGTGATGGCTAAATGCGCTAATAAAATGTCGTTTTAATTCATTTATTCACACACCATTTATGATTATCGAGATTATTTTATTTTGTTTTGGCTTTAACAACTTTTAGAAATATAATGCTCTTTTCTCATTTTCGTTAACAGCTTATACGGACATGTTTCGTGCAAAACCAATGATACTATCATTGGTTTTGCGCCTCATAAACGTAGGTACATTCGTTGTCAATTTTGACAGTAGCGCGCGCGCTTCAATAATCAGCGCTATTACATTTTTTGTTGCGTGTTACACTTTTTTCATTGCTTTTTGCGAAATTTATGAACATGAGCGAATCTTATAAAAACAGAAACTACGTAGTCAAGATTTTTCACATCATCGATTAATTATTATTAATAGAACTACATATTACATAGAAGCATTTTTATAAAGTCGCGGGAGATATTTGTGGCTCCTCGGTCGCCACAGCCACCTCCCGCGCGGATGTCCAATTTGCACCCTAAGTGATGTTATCTAATATTTTTTTACCTGTTTATGTTTTTTCATAGACAAAATGCCGCCACAAGGGCAAGAGAAAGATTCCTGGGTACTCTACGAAACTGATGCCAAAGAACAAGATGTCAATCATCGTGTGCCTCCGTCAGCAGAGAAAAGGAAACTGGATATTGTATGGAGAAACGTGATCATCTTTACCTATCTTCACCTGAGCGCCGCATACGGTGCATACCTTTTCTTCACCACTGTCACGTGGAAAACTAAGCTCGCTAGTAAGTTCTACTTTTAGTCACATCAGATAAACATATTCGGGAATGAGTCATATTTGAAATCGTTAAAATTTCATATCGATTCGGTCATTAACCTTTCAACCTTCGATTAGAAAATAAATATTGTCATGGATACCCGAATAATTCTAAGGGAAACTAGATGGCGCTGTACATTTTATATATCACAGTATTATTTCATTATCTCCAATTGTATCTATATACCTATTATTATATTTAAGCGATACGGATGTCGACAGTAAAAGAAGAAGTGTTTAATCTACTGTATATTACCGATAATCGCACTAGTATGCTTATTATTTTATAAAAATATAATAATGCTTTGAATAAATATGAAATCACACACATCAGCTTTCTTTATGTTTCGTTTCAGCCCCTAAATTTCCTAACTGCAGAGATACTCCTTCCCTATGCATCCAAATAAAGCAAAAGACAACTCACCAAGCGGAGTGCGGATTGGTGTGTGATAATAACTGCAGATGTAGCCATGACCAACGGCTTAACGTGCCTTGCGTAGTACGAAGAAACTCGAGACTGAATTTTAGATCACTCATCCACTGACCAGCCATTTCGAAAATTAACCTCTGGATCGCAACAAACGCACTATTGAATTCCTCATAACATATTATGATAACTTATGTATTATTTTTAAGCATATATCCTGTACGTGATGTCGGGCCTCGGGATTACAGCGGGTGCACACAGACTTTGGGCGCACAAATCCTACAAGGCAAAGTTGCCGTTGCGCATATTATTAACTTTCTTCAACACAATGGCATTCCAGGTCAGTTCCGAAAATTGTTCCCAATTAATACCTAATGTACACATACACCTACACTATAATTACGAACACCAAACATTAAATTGTCTTATCATAGCCCTATATAAAATCCTCTTTTTAAATTTAGTTACAAATAATTTGAACTCACAGAAATTAAAAATATCGAAAATCAGAGCCAGAGCAATATCGATTTAATCATTGATGGGCCCTAAATTGAATCAAGGATCAACTTTTTGTCTAACTCAAATTATTACTTTGGAAAATAAAGGAAATTCACAATGGAGGCACAAAGCACAAACGATGACGATTTCTGCTGGGGCAAACAAACGACATTTATAATTAACCACATGACAGATAGAGTCACGAAATAATTTAGCAACTCCAAATGTAGTTATAAACTAAAATTCGCAATGAAAGAGGTGACATATTTAATTTATTAATTTTACATGATCACCTCGTGTTAAGATAAAGTATTATCGGTTGACCTCTGCTATTCGTGAAATTAGCAGCAATATTATACTCTATTTTTTCGCACATGAGATAAAACAAAATTATTGAACTTAACCATAATGGCAACTTTAATGTTGATATTGCTCAACGATCAATGACGATACGTCATTTATATGGATGCATTAATTATCGGAAGACGTTCAGACGTAATTCCACGCTTATGAAATCGATATAGCAGTAATCGTGGTCAATTGATCATGTATTAAACACGCGGCATCTTTGACATTTGTTATCTTTGTGTAATTAACCTTTAACATCAACTGATAAAATTGTATTTAAACTGTCACCTGCAAACTGTCTATTATCAGTAGACCTTCGGCATCATTATAGAATTTAATCCTTATTGCCAAAATTATCTATACATTTCTTAATGTACAAAGTTCACATAAATTGTCAATTTTAGGAAACTGATTTTGATCTTTAACGCTTTAAGGTTTTAAATGGGGTGTATATTTTCTTGTTTCATTTTACTGTACCTAATTGGTCTTAGTACTTCATATGTTTTAAATTTAATTGTTGTTTACGGTTAGTTCTTACGGATTTCTTTCATAAGCTATATGTGAAAATACACTTTCAATACATACCTATTTAGTGATTTCAGTATCTTGAATTTATGAATATGATTCCCTTGTTTGATATTGGTACAGTTTAGTAATAAGAAAGAAATGTTCCTCAGCAAAGTGGTTACAAGTGTAATAAAAAACGATAAGACGTTTAATGTGTTTACTTGACATTTAAATGCCGTTTAAATGGGAGTTTTAGGCTTGATTGCGAACTATATTTCAAGGAAATGGTTTCTAAATTAATTACGCGACCGTGATCCTTGCAATGGTTCTGTTGGTACACCTCAAATACTAAGTAGGTTTTCTTGGTTCAAATTGTAATGATTGAAACAATACGATTCGTTTGAATACCTAATTTTTCACCTATTCAGGATGTGAATTGAATCAAAATAATGTTTTAATATTGGATTAGCCAATACAACTTATTATGCTATTTTACCTATAATGCTATTTTATGAATTGATTGATTGTTTAAATTTGAATAAACCCAGAAACTACCTCACTGAGTTGAAAAATTCTTTTACTATTAGAAACGTACAATATTTCTGATGAACATTGTGTTTGTAAAAACGCTAGGGATCCTTATGAAAACTTCAATACCCGTGTGAAAACTAGACGGGCCGCTAGTATTATTTTATTATGTAAATTTGTCTAAATTTATCATAGAATATTTATTTCAATTTATCTGAATATATTTATTCGTGTTCTATGGTAAGCTACTATTTTTTTTCAGTCTGTTCTAAAGAGATAGCTGGCGAGCGGATATTATCTTTTGCATTTACATTTGTTTAGTTTTGTAAATCACTTTTATAAATTACTATTTTTTTACAAAGAAATAACGTTCAAAAATCTTTAATACACCATGGGTTATGTTGCTTTAAATAATAAGAATTTCTGTTTCGATCACAAAACTACTTCTAAAACTACATTTCCATTTCTAATTGTAATTATACCCTTTTTATTAGAAAATTGGTAAATGTATGAGTCACGTTGTAGACAATGGAATTTGCAACACTTTTCTAATAATAGTAATAGTTTACGAATATCTAATTAAAACTATCTCATTGCCATGCAATGAGATAAACAGGGACAGGTTTTGAGTTTACATCCAATTACTCCAAATAGATCCAATTTTCGTTCTTCTATTGATAGCCTTTTTGTAAAATTGCTACAAAAAAAAATACTTTTCTGATTTCAGGATTCAGTTTTAGACTGGGCGAGAGACCATAGAATGCACCATAAATATTCTGAAACTGATGCTGATCCGCACAACGCGACTAGAGGTTTCTTCTTCTCGCACGTTGGCTGGCTGCTCGTCAGGAAACATCCTCAGATCAAGGCTAAAGGACACACCATCGACTTGAGTGATCTTTGGGCTGACCCTGTACTTCGATTCCAGAAAAAGTGAGCTATATTTAGAGTTGAGCACTTTAAAAGTAAAAACGCAGAATCTTTATAAAGATGAAATTTGGCTTTTTTTTTAATAAATAAATATTAGCGCGAGCGCGGAGTGGTTAGGGTGTTTTTGTTAGGCGATGCGGAAGTAAAGCAACATTCACTAGGGCCGGGTATAGGATGGGTGACCAAAAATTTATTATTTCGAGTTTTGAATCTGCACTCGTGAACACCCTCCAAATCCATATAGGCTACTTGGGCGGGGTGGATGTTGGCACTTCCTTCCTATCCGATTTGATTCAATTCCATCCAATTACTCCATAGGGAAGACCTGAGCTTCAGAAGCGCGTCAATAATAGGCTGTTAATTATGTTGATATGATATTTTATATTTAACGTTAAAAAGGAAACTATGGACAAGTAATGCAAAGTCAGTTTTACAAAACTATGACCTGTGGCGATTCTGGAGGTTGTATTTAAAATAATAAACGTGATATTGGGAGGTCGTTTTCATTTACATATCTAGTTTTACGCTTTATGTTTAAACTAATAACAAGTCAAGGCAAGCATATTTAATGATTTGCAAACTAAACGAAGCGAAGTGACAAATTTTTTTATACTAACAGTTTATTGCACTATAAAGTAAAGAAATCTCAAACGACGCATCAGTGCCGCCCTAAAAGGAATTACAAATTTCTTTAAATATCAATATAGCAATGTGAATGCAAAATTTATCATCGATCAAATATATTATTCTAGATTAGTCATTTAATATGCTTCTTTTCTTTAATTTACAGGTACTATATGTATCTTATGCCATTGGCTTGTTTCGTCATGCCGACATTGTTGCCTACTCTCTGGGGTGAAAGCCTGTGGAATGCTTACTTCTGCAGTGCAATCTTCCGCTACGTGTTCACCCTAAATAGTACCTGGCTCGTAAATTCTGCAGCTCACTTATGGGGTCAAAAACCTTACGATAAACATATAAACCCTGTAGAAATTAAGTCTGTTTCTGTAGCAGCTTTAGGTGAAGGATTTCATAATTACCACCACACATTCCCATGGGATTATAAAACTGCAGAACTGGGGAACTACTCTTTAAATATCACAAAGCTCTTTATTGATACGATGGCTAAAATTGGCTGGGCTTATGACCTGAAAACTGTTTCACATGAAGTAATTGAGAAACGGGTGAAAAGAACGGGTGATGGAAGTCATAGTGTTTGGGGTTCGGATGATAATAATGCACCCGGAGAAGATAAAAATGATACTACAATCATGAACTCAAGCAAGTCTGAATAAATTATTTTAGTAATAAATTAATATTATTGTTGCTTAGAAATGTGAAACGGTAATTTATCAGTAGTTTTACTTGAAATCACCGCGATAAAAGCTAAGTTTGATATATTTAAGCGATTTGGTTTTAAATGAAATCTGCTCCTTTTACCATATTGTGATATTTAATATTATTAGAACAGCGTAATACCTAGTTAGTAAGTTCCTATTTATTTTACAGATCTTATTAAATATTATGTTTACAGAAATGTCTAATGAATAAGATCTAATTTAAATCCATTAGCAATAAAATTAAATGTTTCAATTACTATGGGTTTTATAAAGTATGTAACTTATAATAAAATCTTTTTTAAATAAGTTTGTTATAATTATTTTATATTGCAAATGTACCTTATCCGTACGTCTACTAAATCTTCGTCAAGCGTGTCAGTTTTTACGATCAAAGTATTTACATATTTAAAAATATTAATTACGTTTCAAAAGATTTTTTCCTTAATTTTATTTTCATAATTTCATTTGAAATGTCGCATTTTATTTGAAACTATTTAATAGTTTTGTAAATACATATAGTCAGAAAAAGTTATAATATTTATTAATCGTTGAAAGAAAAAAATATTATTTATTTATTTTAATTGAATACTAAAATGCATTCAGTTAAGTCAGGACAAAAATTGCGAGGCTTATAACTATTTTTAAATAGTAATACGATAACTACCCGAATCAGACCCTTAAATGATTGTTTGCTTCACTACCCAAATGCGATTCGGGCCTAATGACGGTTTACTACGTTTTTCTCATCATAAGGTTAAAAAGAGCGAATGCACAATTACATTTTGGATTTATTTCCATATTTACGAATCAAACTATAAAAAGCTTCGATTCTATTGCATGAATTTTTAAAGTAACTCCACAATTATCTCGAGTTTTGTTAGCTATTATAAGCTCAATGAATTATTTACAAATTACGAAACACCTTGGCCTCCAAAAAAAAATGCCAAGATATTATTCTATTTTAAGCAAAAACTTCTTTAAATTATAACTAATGATCGCTAGCGACCAACATACGACCTCTAAAAAACATGTGACAGGTCAATCAATGTACGGAAAGTGGACAAGATTCTTTAAAAATACGCCCGTTAAAATCAAACTAAAAAGTAATCTGAAATACTGCTGAGATAAATAATTCTACTTAAAATTTTAAAATTAAAGTCAAAAGTTTTAAAAACGCTTCTGTCAACATATAAATAAAAAAATATAAGACAAGTGGTATTATGGCGCATTGGGTTTGAAATTATTGGTCCTTTCACTGAAAATAATACTCCTTTTTAAGCAGTCATGTATAAATAGACTTGAAAGATTGCAAAAACACCAATGTTTGTCCATAACGTCACTCAGCTCATTAGCAAATTTTGGAAACATGATAAGGCTATTGAGTAATTTATGCAAACATAACACATATACTTACGTGTTCACAAAACTGGTAGTAATTTCAATTAAGGGTGACTGTATAACACCACTCATCAAAAGCGTTTTCCATCAATTTGCTGGCACTTGTGTGGATACGCTCAATTACTTTAATCTATAGGGTGCTCTCTTTCATTAAAACACAATAAAAATTGTGTGATAGAGAGTAGCTCGCTGGCATAGTTGATAAGCGCCTCGGCCGACGATCGTTGTTGTTAAGCAACTTTCGCAAGGCAAGAGCTACTCCATGCTTCAGAAGGCACATGAAGCTGTTGGTCCCGGCCGCATTTGCAGTTATATAATAGTTGCGACTTATCTTTATCCATTGTTATGGTCATTTATAAGTTAACATTTTGTTGAACAAAAGCATCAGTATTCCTCCAGTTTTGTATTGTTATCGACTTGTATTTTCCCTCTACGTTTTACTTTAATTAATGTTTAAATGAATATATACAACCTATGCCAAAGTACAAACCTTCTTGTCTGGCGGCCGCTATATTAGCGCACTAGCCGTTATCTGTCAACTTTTTTTCAAAATTTACATCAATGAAAAATAATCTTACTTTGAAGGACTCCAATAAAAACGATTGCTCTTTAAGATTAAAAGCATTTATGCGCGTAGTTTTTAGGCGATAATATGGCTCTTTATATAGCTATATAATGGGAGAACAACAATTTATATTAACAAACTTTATTTAAGTTTTATATAAGTAAGTATATTTAGTAAACTTTCTAATATTCTTTTATAGACCAACTATTCAATCTCCATGAATACATGAATCTATCCAAATGAAGTTCGTAATATTTTTTTACATCTTATATCATAATAATATAAAATAATATCAATTTTACGTAATATAATGTTATAAAAGATAAAATATTATAATACGATTATAATTATACAGACAATTTTATACTTAAGTTAATATAAAAAAGATAAAATATAAAATCATCCTGTATACATGGTGATGGCTATGTGGGAAAATGCTGTTCATCAGTCTTGAGTGAGCTTTGCACAGAGCGCCATTACGTCATTTTTCATACTACGATTTAAAGTCATAAATATTATTAGTGAATTTTTCTAAATAAAATTATAAGGTCAACTATGTACAACAAGGTATGTTATATTTATTTGTTTAATGTCGTCACTCGTTAACATTTTCGTCTAATGTCAGTTTTACGATCATAACATTTGCATATTTCTAAATTTTAATTACGTTCCAAAAGATGCCTATTTTCCTCAATTTTATTGTCATCATTTTATTTGAAATGTCACATTTTATATGAAACTTATATTAACAACATTTTTTTAAATAGTTTTATAAATAAATTCCTTCTGTTCTAATATCTCTTAAGTATTATTGTTTGTAAAAAGTTGTAATTAATTGTAGTTAAATTTTCACTGTTTTTCAGTATGAAATGAATTCAAACAACGGCGAATTAAGTAATGACACATTCACATTTTTCGGTCCCATCGGTATGGCGTTCTACGATGATGGCAACGCTTTAGACGACGCGGACTCCGTGAAAATTATCATAAGCGTCTTCTTAGGTGTTTCTATGATACTCAGCGTAATTGGAAATGTGTGTACATGTGCTGTCATCGCCAGAGATAAGACTATGAGAACTCCAACAAATTGCTACCTGTTCAATCTCGCTATAACTGATCTCTGCTTTGCATTGTTCGTGCCTATAGAAATCTATATAATATGGATACCAGATATGTACCCCCTTGGAGAAGAAGGTTGTCGTCTACATTTCCTACTCTCAGACCTCCTGTGCAATTGCAACGTTCTCACTATAGCAGCTTTTACCGTAGAAAGATACTTGGTTATCTCAAAACCATTTTTAAGACAAAAATTGACATTAAAATCGAGGGTTTTCAAGATAATAGCTGTAATTTGGGCAATAGCATTCATATTTTGCGTACCCGATATATTTTATATAGATTTATTGGAGAGAAAAAAATATGTTTACTGCTATATAACTGTTTCTGATCCGATTAGAATTGTTTTAGCCATGGAGGAGGTAGTGTTTTTTGTAGTGCCAATGTCAATTATATTTATGTTGTACATACTAATAGCTATAAAACTGAAAGCAGCAAATCAAAGATTAAGGAGTAGCCCGGCAAATGGCAAGCAACACAGGGACAAAGCTGTAAAAATGTTAGGTAAGTTTAGATGTTAAATGTTAAAAGCTCACAGTTTATAGAAATAAGAAAATAGTTTATCGTTTACTGTATTTTTATTACGTTATGCTGGAGATATTTAAAGATTAAAACAACGTGAATGTTAATCAACTTAATTTTTATTTCTTATTATTATTTTTTTTCTTTTTTTTTCTTGGCGTGTCATTATGGAGTAAATTCTTGAAAGAGGTTTCAACATGCCCCCGGGCGTTGAAAGCCGAGCTTTCAACAAAAAGTCGATGATGTGGATACCGATAATGGGCATATCTTGCTGAAAGCCTTTCGGATCACACCAGTCGAGGTTTTTATATCCGCCACACGAGCGGTATTGCTCGTGTGGCGGATCAGTTCCGGGATGTACAGCCACAATCCTTCCAAATTTCCACTTCAATGGAGGAAGATTGTCCTCCTTGATCACGACTAAAGTTCCTAGGTTCAATACGCCTGCACCAGAACGCCACTTAGTTCGATGTTGCAGCTCCGAAACATATTCTTTGCTCCAACGAGCCCAAAAGTGCTGTCGCAATTGCTCAGTGCGGTAAAATCTGGACAAATGGTTAAAACTATGTTGTTGAAGATCTCGTTCTGGCAACGCTGTCAGCGGACGACCAATCAGAAAATGACCCGGCGTCAGAGGGTTACAATCCGCAGGATCTGAAGAAAGTGGTGTCGCTCACACCACTTTCTTCTTGAGTTTAATATTGCTTCAATTTGTGCCAAAGTAGTGTTAAGTTCTTCGAATGTCAAATTACAATTTCCCAGCACTCGTTGTAAATGATACTTGGTTGATTTGACACCAGCCTCCCAGAGTCCACCAAAATGAGAATGAGTACAATGGAGTGTACGCGGGTATAAAATGAAAGTTAATACCATCATTTGCTAAACCATCGCTCAAAAAATTGCAATTGCTTTTAAGAATTTTGACAACTCGTTATATGCACCAACAAATGTTGTTCCATTATCGGAATAAATATTAAAGGGTTTCCCTCTTCGCGAAATAAAACGACGCAATGCTAATAAGTAATTGTTAAGTCACCTACCAATTCCAAATGTACGGCTTTGGTCATGAAACATATGAAAATCGCAATATATGCCTTTATCAACTTACAACCACGGCCATGACGATTTGCATACATAACAGGACCAGCATAGTCGACCCCAACGTTCTGAAATGGATAACCGTCTGGAATAAGCCGTTGTTGTGGTAGGTTTCCCATTAAAGGACTAATAACTTTACCTTTCATGCGAGTACATCTTAAACATTTGTGATAGCAAGCCTTTGCTAAAGACCGACCACCAATCGGCCAGTAGGTCTCTCTGATAGACGCCAATAATAGCTGAGGACCTGCATGCATAAGCTTAATGTGTTCATAATCAAAAAGTAATTTAGAAAATAGATGAGTGGACTGTATTAAAATAGGGTGTTTTTTATTATAGGAAAATGTTGAATTGTAAAGACGACCACCGATACGCATTATTTTGTCATCATCTAAAAACGCGTTGAATTTTACAAGAGTGTTTTTATGTAAAGTTTGGTTTCTGCAACAGCAACTCGTATTCGGGAAATGATTCCTGTTGACTTTGCCTGACGATAATTAGTAAGGCTTTTCGTAACTCATGCTCTTCTAAAAAGCTTGTCATAACAGGTTGACCTTTACATTACTGAATAAAACGTAGAACGTAAGCTACTGAACGAACTAATCGCAAATAATTTGAAAAGCGTTTGAAATTAATAAGAGAAGCACGATGAGTATCGTCTACACAAGCGCTTAATGATATACCTGGTTTAGTGTCCAGTAATACTTCAAGATGATTAGGTTGAGAAGGCCAGTCACACTGATCATGTAGTAGATATTCTGGACCAGACCACCACAAATCTAAATATTTAAGAGCACTGATATCAACTCCACGGGATACTAGGTCTGCAGGGTTTTTATTAGTGGGTACATGTTGCCATGTACAATTGTCTGTTTTATCTAAAATTTCAGCTACGCGGTTGCGTACAAATGGCTGAAGTTTAGAAGGCAACATTCGCAACCAACCTAAAACGATGTTGGAATCTGTCCAAATATAAACCGCATCGAATTTCACTCGAAGTGAATTTGTGACCTTTTCATACAAACGAGCTCCTATTAAAGCACCACATAATTCCAACCTGGGTATAGTTATTGGCTTAATAGGTGCCACACGGCTTTTAGCTATTAATAGCCGAACCACAGTCACTCCACTGTCATCGATACTACGAACATAGACGCAAGCGCCATATGCACCTTCAGATGCATCAGTAAAAATGTGCAATTGCAAACTTTGAAATTTATCGTAAATGACCTGTCGTGGAATGCAAATATCATTAAATAAATGTAAATTTTTAATTATATCATTCCATATTTTGTTAATGTTGGAAGGTAATGGTTCATCCCATGATAATTTTTGAAGCCACAATTTTTGTAACAGCATTTTCATGATTATCACACATGGTGCCAATAAACCTAGGGGGTCAAAAATCCTCGCAATAGCCGAAAGCAAATCTCGCTTAGTATTGCTGTTGGAAATTAAAAAACTTATTGGAAAGCACAACTTATCTGTACTTGAATGCCAACCAAGACCCAACAATTTATTTGGTTCATCAGACCCTATATTTAAATTAACAGACAAAACACCATCAGAATCAGATACTAATTGAGGTTCGTTTGATACCCATTTTCTCAAATGCATGCCACCTGATGCTAGTGCATCAGTAACATCCTTTCGTATACCTTGCATAATGTTCAGATCATCACCTCCAGTTAGCAAATCATCAACGTAAAAATCGTGCATGATAATTTTAGCAACAGATTGATTTGCACATTCTAAACCTATCTGCTTAAGGCATCTAGTCGCAAGAAATGGTGCACTCGCCGTTCCATAGGTGACGGTGTTCAGTTGGTATACTTTGATTGATTCAGAGACATCGTTGCACCAGAGTATCTGCTGTAGGTGCCTGTCAGATGGATGCACGACTATCTGTCTATATATCTTCTCCACGTCGGCAGATAAAACATATTTGTGTTGCCTAAAACGAAGAAGTATAGACAAAAGGTCATCTTGGACAGTAGCGCCTACCATCTGAATCTCATTGCATGATACACCTGATGTTGTAGGACAACTAGCGTTAAATACCACTCGGAGCTTCGTAGTCGTGCTACTTTCACGGATGACACCGTGATGAGGCATAAAATACGAAGATTGGTCTGATTCTGGTGTATGAATTTCGGTCATGTGGTCTAATAATTTGTATTCCGTCATAAATTCTTTATACATTTTACCAATGTCCGATTTACTAACTAATCTGCGTTCCAATGAAAATAAACATTGTTTAGCCCTTTGGAATGAATTACCCAATATATTAGGATTATGCTTTAGGGGTATTCTAACACAGAAACGGCCATTATTAAGACGGAATGTATTTTTAATAAAATGTTCCGCACAGAGCTTTTCCTCTGGTGAATAACTAGGTGATTTGGAATCTATTTCTTCCAACTGCCAAAAACGCGTTAAATCGGTCCGAATGTCATCTTTTTTGTCAGTAGCATCTGAACTTATTGGAGTCAAATGACATCTTATATCATTGGACAGTTGAAAATAATTATTAAATGGTAATGGACCTGAAATAATCCAACCTAATTTAGTCTCGCACAACACAGGTTGTTGTTTAACTAATTTTATTTTTTGTGACCCTAATATGTCCCAAAAGAGATCAGCTCCAATACTACACTAAACTTAGGCAACTGTATTGTAGGCAACTAACCAAGCTTACGGTTACTAGCGTGAGAATTACTAACATTATCAAGGAAATCATTTGACGACTTATTAAATTCATTTAGTAACCCTTGAGCATCGGACAATGCCTTGCAATAAAGTGATTCAAAATCAGCACGTTCAGATAACTGTTATTGCATATTATCACCTAAACATTCCAATTGAAGTTGCACTTCATCATATTGTTCATACAAGGACTCGATTTTACTTATACGCATTTGCAATTCTCGAGCGATTGACGCAGTTATAGGTTTAGCAAGTGCTTGCAAATAATTTATAAATACCGTTAAACGACCTTTGAAACTCGCTCGCCGCTTAATTAGTTCTTTTTTTTCACTCATTTTAATAACTTGGGAGAAAACGTGACGTCAACCTGGAATTTATACAATTCAAGATAAATAATAAGATAATTATTGCCCAATAAAAGTTTTAAACACTAAAATAAAAACAATTATATTGTGACTGTTTACATTTAACCACTAAAAATGCCTATTCTTATAATACTATACAAACCGAAAATAGTTTTTTAACTGTATAGAATTTTATATTTTAATTGCCTTTATTATTCTTATTCTTATTAGCAATAATCACTACACAACAGAAATAATGTGCCCAAATGTACTTAAACAATTTAAAACCTCAAAATTACTCAATAGGATAACTGTGACAATTATTTGCAAATTTTTAACTACTTAGGTATAAATAATGAAGTCCATAAATGTAGCTTATTTTGCTAACTGTACTGTATTTAAAGTACGTTTGAACTTATTAATATGTACCTAATAAGCAAATAACGTAGTTATTAATTAAAATTGAACAATTGACACAAATGTATAAGATAATGTTATAAAATTTTACTAACCTTATTAATTTTGTATCTTTAATTACACTTATACTACCTGATCGAGTGTTGGGTTATTTAATTTTATTTATTTAGACACTTAACACTGCTTATATTTAATATTTTAATCTTCAGATAACATCCGCGTCCTTCCATAACCTCCAGAACTTCGCACGTATTAATTTATTAATTAGCGCTGAATAAATACTTCCATAGAATTCATAAATAATATGATATATCTTCCATATAGTATTTTCTATCCGGCTTCGATACGGCCGAATGTATTTTTATTACGTTATGCTGGAGATATTTAAAGATTAAAACAACGTGAATGTTAATAAACTTAATTTTTATTTCTTA